TATCTATCCATCCCTATCCATCTATCTAATCATCTATCTATCTATCTATTCATCTATCTATCTATCTATCTATCTAATCAATCCTGTTCATATCTATCTATCTATCTATCTATCTATCTATCTATCTATCTATCTAATCCATCCTGTTCATATCTATCTATCTATCTATCTATCTAATCCATCCTGTTCATATCTATCTATCTATCTATCTATCTATCTATCTATCTATCTATCTATCTATCTATCTATCTAATCCATCCTGTTCATATCTATCTATCTATCTATCTATCTATCTATCTATCTATCTATCTAATCCATCCTGTTATCCTCATTCATCTATCTATCTATCTATATCTATCTATCTATCTATCCTATCTAATCAATCCTGTTCCATATCTATCTATCTGTCTATCTATCTATCTATCTATCCTTCTATGTATCTATATATATATCTATCTATCTATCTATCCTGTTCATATCTATATCATCTATATATCCATCCTGTTCATATCTATCTATATCTAATCCATCCTGTTCATATCATCTATCTATCTATCTATCTATCTATCTATCTATCTAATCTATCCTTGTTGGACCTTGTCAATTTCATCTATCTATCTATCTATTCATCTATCTATCTATCTATCTATCTATATCTATCTATCTATTCATCTATCTACATGGATCTATCTATCTATCTATCTATTAAAATCCATTCATCTATCTATCTATCTATCTATCTTCTATCTATCTATCTCATCAATCCTGTTCATATCTATCTATCTATCTATCATCTATCATCTATCTATCTATCTATCTAATCCATCCTGTTCATATCTATCTATCTATCTATCTATCTATCTATCTATCTATCTATCTATCTATCTATCTAATCAATCCTGTTCATATCTATCTATCTATCTATCTATCTATCTATCTATCTATCTATCTATCTAATCATCCTGTTCATATTAGTATCTCGCTATCTATTTCCATCTATCTATCTATCTATCTATCTATCTATCTAATCCATCTGTCTATTCATCTATCCATTCATCTATCTATCCATCTTTCTAATCCATCCTGTTCTATCATCTGTTCACATCTATCTATCTATCTATCTATCTATCTATCTATCTATCTATTTAATCAATTTTGTTTCTGTCATTCATCTATCTATCTATCTATCTATCTATCTATCCATCTTTCTATCTAATCCATCCTGTTTCTTTTTTCCTTTCTATTCTATCTATCTATCTATCTATCCATCTGTTTTTCTATCTATCTATCTATTTCATTTTCATCCATCTATCTATCTATCTTCATCCATTGCATTCATCTGTCAAGTCTATAAGTCCATCTATCTATCTATCTGATCCATCTATTTTCATCTATCTTATTCATCTGCATCCATCTATTTATCTATCTATCTATCTATCTATCTATCTATCTATCTTCTTCTAATCAACTTATTCTATCTATCTATCTTCTATCTATCTATCTTTCCTAATCCATCCTGTTCATCTTCTATCTATCTATATCTATCTATCTATCTATCTTTCTATCTATCTATCTATCTAATCAATCCTGTTCATATCTATCTATCTATCTATCTATCATCTATTCATCTATCTAATCATCTTTGTCTTCATATCAATCCTATCTATCTCCATCCTTCTTTTCATCTATTCATCTATCTATCTATCTCTATCTATCTAATCAATCCTGTTCATATCTGGAAATCTATCTATCTATCTATCTATCATTCATCTATCTATCTATCTATCCATTCATATCTATCCTCTATCCTCTATCTATCTATCTATCTATTATCATCATCTATCTAATCCATCCTGTTCATATATCTATCTATATATATCTATCTAATCCATCCTGTTCATATCTATCTATCTATCTATCTATCTATCTATCTATCTATCTATCTATCTATCTAATCAATCCTGTTCATATCTATCTATCTATCTATCTATCTATCTATCTATCTATCTATCTATCTAATCCATCCTGTTCATATCTATCTATCTATCTATCTATCTATCTATCTATCTATCTATCTATCTATCTATCTAATCCATCCTCATCTATCTATTCTCTCCTTCATCTCATCCATCTATTCTATCTATCTATCTATCCTGTTCATATCTATCTATCTATCTATCTATCTATCTATGATCCATCTATCATTCTATCTATCTATCTAATCCATCCTGTTCATCATCTATTTCTATCTATCATCTATCTAAAGATCCATTCATCTATCCATCTAATCAATCCTGTTCCATATCTATCTATCTATCCATTAGCATCTATCTATCTATCTATCTAATCCATTTTTTCATATCTATCTATCCATCTATCTATCTATCTATCTATCTATCTATCTATCATATCTAATCCATCCTTTCATATCTATCTATCTATCTATCTATCTATTCTATCTATCTATCTATCTATCTATCCTGTTCATATCTATTCTCACATCTATCTATCTATCTATCTGATATCTATCTATCTATCTAATATATCCATTATATCTATCTATCTATCTATCTATCTATCTATCTATCTATCTATTATCTATATATATATATCCTCCTATTCATCCTATCTATCTATCTATCTGTCTATCTATTATCATCCATCTATCCATCCATTTATCTATTCTATCCCTACATTTATTTATCTATCTATCTATCATCTAATCCATCTATCTATCTATCTATTATCTATCTATCTATCCATAAATCTATCTAATCCATCCTGTTCATATTCATATCTATCTATCTATCTGTTATCTATCTATCTATCTGTCATTTACATCTATCTAATCAATCCTCATATCTATCTATATTTCTGTTCTATCATCTATCTATCTATCTATCTATCTAATCTTATCCTGTTCATATATCTTAATCCATCTATCTATCTATCCATCTATTCATCTATCTAATCCATCCTGTTCATATCAAAATGATTATCCATCTTGCATTCATCTATCTATCTAATCCATCCTGTTCATATTCATCATATCAATCTTTGGAAATTGTTCTATCTATCTAATCACATTGTTCATATCAATTAATCTATCTATCTATCTATCTATCTATTTATCTATCTATCTATCTAATCCATCCTGTTCATATCTATCCTATCTATCTATCTTATTCTATCCATCTATCCATTATCTCTATCTAATCCATCCTGTTTCATATTCATTTATCTATCTATCTATCTATCTATCTATCTATCCTATCTATCCTGTTCATATTATTCTATCTATCTATCTATCTATCTATCTATCTATCTATCTATCCATATCTAATCAACCTGTCTCATATCTATTTTATCTATCTATCTATTTGATCTATCTATCTATCTATCTAATCAATCCTGTTCTATCTATCTATCTATCTATCTGAATATCTATCTATCTATCTATCTATCTATCTAATCCATCCTCTTCTATCTATCTATCTATTTATCTATCTATCTATCTATCTATCTAATCCATCCTCATCATTCCATTTTCTCTATATCTATCTATCTATCTATCTATCTATCTATCTATCTATCTAATCTATCTAGTTATAATTTATCTATCTATCTATCTATCTATCTATCTATCTATCTATCTATCTATCTATCTATCTATCTATCCATCCTATTATCCTATCTATCTATCTATCTATCTATCTATCTATCTATCTATCTATCTATCTATCATCTAATCCATCCTGTTCATATCTATATCATCTATCTATCTATCTATCTATCTATCTATCTAATCAATCCTAATCATATGGGTCTATCTATCTATCTATCATCTATCTATCTATCTATCTATCTATCCTGATCTAATCCATCCTAAATTCATTATCTATCTATCTAATCCATATCTATCTATCTATCTATCTATCTATCTATCTATCTATCTATCTATCTAATCAATCCTGTTCATATCTATCTATCTATCTATCTATCTATCTATCTATCTATCTATCTATCTATCTATCTAATCCATCCTGTTCATATCTATCTATCTATCTATCTATCTATCTATCTATCTATCTATCTATCTATCTAATCCATCCTGTTCATATCTATCTATCTATCTATCTATCTATCTATCTATCTATCTATCTAATCCATCCTGTTCATATCTATCTATCTATCTATCTATCTATCTATCTATCTATCTATCTATCTATCTATCTATCTATCTATCTATCTATCTATCTCAGCCAGCTCATGTCTGTCTATCTATCTTCTGTATATTCAACAAGGATTTTAGTCGCCATATCAAATAACTAAAACACTGCCTCAAAAATGTACTTCTATGCATGTCCTCAAATTTATACGAGGATAAGATGAAAAAAAAGCAAGCAATCTGTAAGGTCAACATCCTTCCGCACGAGAACATCCCAAAACTATGTTTATTCCATTATTATTATTATTTTCAGAGTTGTCACATTATTTTGAGGAGAACTGTATTTTCTTCTAGAAAATCTACAGAATTTATCCACAAAAAGATAGGTTAAAGGGAAAGTTTTTTTTATTTATCGAGGCCTACAAAAGTTATTAATGTCAGTATTTGGAAGATTTCCTTTCAATAATTGTCCAATATTTCACCATTAAGATTTTTTTTCCTTTAGTCGAGGGTAAAAAACGGAAAGTATCAATTTAAAATGAAACATTCTATCGAAGCCTGGGACACAAAAGGAAATTTCATTTTTTTTGTTTTTTTTTGTACTTTATATTTGCAATTTATAAACGAAAAAGTTTTCTTACACTTTGCTTATCAATTTTGAGTTTATCACCTGAAATAATTCAGGCCTTATCGTTTTCTTATTTATTTCAGCCAAAGTAGCATTTTTTCTGCAGTTTGGTTTCAAGTTTTGGAAAATGTTCGATTTGATTTTATTTTCCTTCATTTATCAGTCAGCAGTCAAATGAAAGGGCATTTTATCCAAGTTTATATCATGGAAATGAAAAGAAATACTTTCCAAGCATCCACATTTAAAATCAATCTATCTATCCCAGCCTGTACATATCTATCTATCTATCTATCTATCTATCTATCTATCTATCTATCTCAGCCTGTTGATATCTATCTATCTATCTATCTATCTATCTTCTATCTATCTATCTATCTATCTATCTATCTAGTTTTGTCCACAACTATCACTCTTTATACCTTTTATTACATTTCCTAAATTAAAAAGACAGTAATATTTAAAACAAATTAAAAAAATAAATCACGATCACCATCATCATTATTATAAACATCATCATGAGGTTTGTTTCGAAGTCGATTATTTTTCATCCTCAGCAACTTTGTAAACATTTATAATTAGTCCTATCCAAAACTCACCAACTTGTCTGCTAACTCAGGAATGTCCTGTTGGTCTTCTTTTAAAAAGTATTTTGTAAAAAAGTATTTTATTGAGTCTGTTTTTAATGGTTGTCTGAGGTATTTACCATTCTTCTCTGCATTTTAAAAAGCGACAGTTAAAATCATCAGGTCAGATAGTGAGGAAGGAAAGCTTGGAAAATATGATACTCACAGGACAGACTGAAGAAAAGTAGGACAAAAATAACGCACAATCTAACTAGAGAGCATGAATAAATGGCTGGCGAAATAGGTTTTAGAGAAGGTAACAAAAGGAGACAATTTATTAAAAGCTGCACAGGACAGGAAATTGTGAAGAGCCATGATCAACAGTGTCCTGAAAATAGACGGGACATAATAGAAGATCTGAGGATTTGATGAACTTAATGCTGTAGGTTTTATTGAGTCATATTTTAAGATTGTTGCCTTCGCCTGAAAGCCTTTATATTTTTTTCTGTTTATCTTGAACTGTAAAACTGATATCCTATCTGAAACATCAAAATGTCTATGGATGTTATTTTTCCATCTGCTATTGATGACAAAACCATTTCCATAATATTTACTGTTTCTAAATCTATCAACTTGTGATGTTTAACTCTGATATTATTATCAAGTCCTTTATTGATTTTTGTTTCATGGAGAAAACATCATTATTATCGCTATCAACGTCCCGAGACAATATTTCCTCTTTCTTTTCATGAGTCGACTAACATTTAAAGTCCCGATGATGAAATCTACATATGTTTATCGGCGTAAACGAAGTTTTAAATATTTAATCTGTCACCATTTTAATAGTTATCAACTGGTGAAGCCATTGCATACACCACCAAAAATTACAAACACATTCATTCATTCAGAACTGCAGACATCAAGTGCGGTCAACGATATCAAAATCCCCATTTTGAAAATCGCACTTAAATGAGAGAAACAGTCTGTTTAATACGTAAATAATATATTTTTTTAATTTTTAATTTTATAAAATATTTAAAATTAAAAGGAACAAAAAAATATATATATATATATATATATATATATATATATATATATATATATATATATATATATATATATAGTTGTATATTTAGGCAGCAATCCTTCCTTTATGCATGTTTCATTAAAAACGACAGACAAGGTACTACGGTTAAGCATTTTATTTAATTTTTCTTATGTTCTGACAAGAGCTTTCTTTTCTGGACAAAGGGTGTGTAAAAACTGTCCAAATGTTTTATATTTCCGAGCGCTTTCGGCCATACCTTTAGCCATTATCAAGGATGATTCGATTTTTCAGCTCAATTGAGTGTGTGCGTTCTGTGTATGTATCAGTGTGTGGTAGGGATGTTTTTTAATTTCCGAATACAGTTAGCATTTTGTGGCTTTGTTCGTAGTTAATATTGTAAAGAGTTGGCTTTTCTTTTATTATTAAAGCTTCCATTATTTTTAGTCTTTTTTTTGCAGGTGGATGCAGTTAATATATTTGTGTTTTTTTTTACTAGTATGTTCCTAATGGAGTTGGGTAAATTTGTGTGTGTGTTTAAAATGGGTTCTAATGGAGCTGTGATCAGATAGGTGTCACATGTAAGACGTCTGGATATGCATGTAGTTTGTGTAACTGATGTAATTATTTATGAGTCCACGGATCAGGAACACAGTTCTAATAAGCGGCATTTGAACTCATAGATAATGTTCGTTCTTTATAATTTTGACTTAGTTGGTGTGTTGTTATTTTTGAGGATAAGGTTGGCTGTCTTAAATTTTATCCTATCTATCTATCTATCTATCTATCTATCTATCTATCTATCTATCTATCTATCTATTCACTGGTTAGACACACGGATTAACCAGCACGTACCCGGAAGAATTAGGAATGGTACGTTTTAATCTGGTGACAATATCAAGAACACATACGGCTCTGCCATTGCTGAGCACTTTATAAACAATGCAAGTTGTGCCACCAATTTCAGCATTAATTCATTTTCCATCCTTAGTCATGCTCATTCTGTGTTACTCTTAAAGGTATTAGAAACGATCTATGTCAGATCCAGGCAGCCCTCCCTCTGTTAACAGAGGGAATGCCTGTTGGGGCTTGACATTATTTCCATCTGATCTTTCCACCTTTATTTCATCACATGCTTCTCATGTTTTATATATATTTTTTTCAGCTCTGTTGGGTGAGGGCGAAACCGGTCGGCAGGTCATATTTTTTTTCCTTTTAATCATGAATGATAAAGCTCGCCTTGCCATTTTTATTTCCATAATATATATATATATATATATATATATATATATATATGTGTGTGTGTGTGTGTGTGTGTGTGTGTGTGTGTGTAATTATTTATTCGAACATTATAACATAAATACGTTATAAAATCACTACAAAAATAGCCATTTTGTTTCAAGTGATGCTGTTGAATGTATAATAAAGGGTTTAAAAGGTTCAAATCAATCAAACATCCCCTGCAATGCCAAACACAGTTACATATTTTGGAATGACCAATCAAAATATAAGTATACGAGAATTCAAAAAACTTGACAACGAACTTTGGTTATAATAATTATTTAATGCTTTATTGTTGGGGTTAGACTAAAATAGAATTTATTCTAACTAATAGATATTAAATTATACGATATAATTTGAAATTAAAAATACCGATCTTAAAATTTAAATTTAATCTATATTATGTTTAAAATTATAAAATTACTGAGGAAAAAAATACATGTTTTTCTATTTATTTTGTTTTTACTAAAAATTAAATTTATATATATATATATATATATATATATATATGATACTTTTAGGCGAGTACCATTAGGGATATCGGGTTTTCAGCATCATTCTCTCTCTCCATGGTGACCCAGGGTATATTGATCGGATTGTGTGCCATCCGTAAGCTACATCTATTCGACTTATATGGCACTTTTAGTCAAATCACGGATAACTTCTATCTCTCTATCTATCTATTGTAGTTCTTACTTCTATCTATCTCAATCTTTCCATATCTATCTATCTATCTATCTATCTATCAAATTTCACAAAATAATTCTGTGGATTAAACAAATTGTATAAGAATGATAACTGGAAAAAATATTAAATTTTGCCGCACGCTTTTCGTCTTCCGACTTTATCAAGACAAACAATGAAAGCGAAAAGAAATTTAAGCTTTCATTGATTGCCTTGATAATATCTGAAGACAAAACGCGTCGATAAAGTAAGATT